GTAGTTAATTATTCAAGATTAGTAGCGTGTCCCTTTCCCCGGTTCGAGATTTTGACTTTTATCCGCCAAAATCTCAGCTCGTACACTATTTATTGTCATAAATACTACACACAGTCACTGCTGTGATATTCATAGTCGCATGCATCCACTTTGGCATGACATAATCGACCTGTAAGTTCGAGAAAACGCGCTATTACCGGGGCTTGGCTGGAGCTGTTTACTACAGCGTGACAAGCCAGGAAATAATCCCTATTGTTTAGAACCGTATTTATAGTATACCTGGGCCTTTAACTGTTATCAAGTTCAAAAACGGTCTAACAGTGCCAGAAAGTACCTACTAGGATGTGTGACCTTTAGGGTACCAGGATGTGTGACCTTTAAGGGGTCGTGAAACTAGAAAAGTTACTGATATTTGTCTCAGCTTGGTTTTATAAACCTGTATTTACTTTTAACTAAATCAAACACAACTATGTTTCCATAGTAAAAAAAAAACAAATTCACACAACATGTTTCTATGGTAATCTAATGCAAAGTCATATCTTTTTGTCAGTTAAGTTATGACGTGATGTAAGACCGCAATTTCTATTGGTTTAAATTTGATGGTAAGGTGAGTTGTTGTTGTTGTTGTTGTTACAGGAATGTTGATTAATGAATCCAGCTTCTTGATGTGCCCGATCAAATCATTCAGTTCATAAGACAGCAATGGATGGTCGGCTAAAGCGAAACCGTATGAATTGGACTATGCACAAAGAGTTATTAAAAACAAATACATGTATTTTTGAAATATAATATATTTATTGATCTTAACAAGCATTTTTCAAACATAATATGAATATGTTAATTATATGCTAATGAAAGCACTGAGTACCTGTGGTAGAACAGAAATCAAAATGGTGGATGAAATCAGAATTAAAACGTTTGCTTTGTTACTCCATCAAGCAGTCACTGCAAGGATCCATATGCCTGATTATATGACCTAAGTTCTGAGTGCTTTTATCATATTTGTTCATCAGCATTGATGAAAACGACAGAAAAGCATTTTTTTTCATCATTTGCTTTATAAACTAAATTACTGTAAACATTCAAGTTAATTCAGCTAGAGACAAATCAGAGTCCGAGAAGTCAGGAAATTTTCTAGCAGTGAACATTTCACCAGTGGATGTACATTGGGACTGAGTCACACAGACTTTCATGAAAAATTGCTCAAATTATAAATAATTAATATTATTTCCCATATTCAAGTTCATTACTTTAGTAACTATTTGTTTAGTATTGTATATATCTTGATAGATGGAACTACAACGTAAAAGACAATGAGTCATAGGAAAATAAGGATGTGAACCTAATTCAATCATTTGCTGTGAAGTATTTCCAGCTCTGACCTTTGGTTTGTTTTCCAATAAGCTCAATGTAAACACAATAAATACAACAGTAAATACTGATAAAGTATTATATACATGGGATCAAATATTTGCTTATCAATTTTCAATGATACATGTATATAAGGATACTTCAGCTGTTGTGAATCTGAATGCCCTGAGTTTGAATAGAAATCCTGGATTTGATCTTTTGATAAAACAAGGGTATCAAATGAATAATAATGATGTTTCTAGTCTGTCAACATGATATGGTTTTATGTCAATATTTTGGGAAGCTGGACCACACATGGTACAATTAATTTTTGTATGTTTTCGCATTGTAGTGTAACCACCATTAGACTTGTAAGCTGTCTGATGGCCAGACCCACATATCCCACATAGGTACAACCATCCAAAGTCCAGACCCACATATCCCACATAGGTACAACCATCCAAAGTCCAGACCCACATATCCCACATGAGTACAACCATCCAAAGTCCAGACCCACATATCCCACATAGGTACAACCATCCAAAGGCCAGACCCACATATCCCACATGAGTACAACCATCCAAAGTCCAGACCCACATATCCCACCATAGGTACAACCATCCAAAGGCCAGACCCACATATCCCACATGGGTACAACCATCCAAAGGTCCAGACCCACATATCCCACATGAGTACAACCATCCAAAGGCCAGACCCACATATCCCACATGAGTACAACCATCCAAAGTCCTAGACCCACATATCCCACATGAGTACAACCATCCAAAGGCCAGACCCACATATCCCACATGAGTACAACCATCCAAAGGTCCAGACCCACATATCCCACCATAGGTACAACCATCCAAAGGCCAGACCCACATATCCCACATGGGTACAACCATCCAAAGGTCCAGACCCACATATCCCACATGAGGTACAACCATCCAAAGGCCAGACCCACATATCCCACATGGGTACAACCATCCAAAGGCCAGACCCACATATCCCACATAGGTACAACCACCCAAAGGCCAAAACTACACATACTATAACTACCGGTAGTTACAGCAACAATGTTTTTCACGTTACATTTTCTAATCAAGATCAAATTAAATAATTGAAATAAATGCACTATATGATAGAGGCAAATGTGGAAACTGTTAGAATAAACTTAATTTGAGCTAGTTCAGTCTGTGTATTTATCATGTCACGCTAAGAATTCTGATTGGCTGATACAGTCGTGCATATTTAATGAGTTGTACCACAATTTCTTGTATTGGTTCTTCTCGTGTTGTCTGCCAATAAGACCATCACAACCCAACAGAGACAATACGACAAGTTGTCTGGAAGTACTTGAATATTCTGAAAACCAGCAACGTTAAATTAAAATTTTTAAAATAATGTATGTTCAGTATTTATGATATATGTAATATCATTGACCTTTGACCTCACTAAAAGTTGACCACAGTGGAATGTGTGTAAAACATTTGTTATAAAATTCTTTACTCTTATATGACTCTAGAGGGCGCTATAGGAAGTGTAGGAAGATGGTAATTTAACTATTGATTATTAAAGAGCAGAGATTGTTCAGTCAAAATGCTGACTACTAAAATCAGATTAAATTGATTTTGATATTCTTCGAACTATCAACCTTTAAGATAATAATTGGATTCTAAATATGATGGAAAGGTAATGTAGTAACAGCAACATGCATCCAAAACTCACTTCATTTTGTTTTTTTTGTGATTTTTCCGAAATTAACCAAGAGTTGTCGCTTGTCAAATTAAATAGGTTTTCCCGCTTTTACCCAAAGGGGTACATGTGGGGTTTTGATTGCAAAGCATATTTGTGAGCTTAAAAAATGTATTTAAGCACTTTTCTGCTGTATGTATAAACATTACATAAAAGGTTGTAGGTCATTTATGCGAACGAAATGAAGTGAGATACACTTTGTGTTTCTAAATGTGATTCTGTTCATGAACTAAATGATAGACATTGTGTTCAGACAGTGTATGCTAATCATGTTGTGCCTTCATTGATCTGTCATGTAAATTAATTTGATTATGTGCAAATGATCAAAATCTCTAGGTGACGGATCTGTTTTCATCAGTCTTAATTTGTGCATTGTTTTTAAATCGACTAATGAATTGGATTATAGGAGAGCATGCTTCTTGGAAATTTCATAAAATCATTATTATTTTTTGTTAAATAACTTTAAATTTCTTTATTTTTTGTTTGACATTAAAAATCTTGATGAGAAATCTTATTTTACCCTAAGCCTTATAATGAGCTATTTACCATATTTTCTCTATTAGAAGTGCATCTCAAAAAGAAGCTCATATTGTTTTTGTATTTCAGATGATTTTGACTATAAACACACCTGTCATATGCATACATGTGCTACTGATAAAACAAATACTGTACATAGCATTACTATATTTAATTCAATGTTATCTAGCTTTTCACGAAATAACGTATCTTTTTTTTCCTTCATGTTTTATAGAAAGAAGGAATTGGAAGAGAACTGTTCGATGTATGCTGCCAAGCCCTAGGCCTATTTGAAGCTGATTATTTTGGTATAGAATTTACAATCAAAGGAAAAGATGTAAGTTTAAATTTCAGGGAAAAAAGTCGTTAAATGAAATTTTTCGCAGAGTTAACAATAACATAAAAATTTACATTCAGCCTGCAACAGTTATTGGAATATGAAACTATGCATTTGGGACTGAAAAACACATGAGAATCATAATAATATGTCAGATTAATGACGTTCAGACAACATTATCCAGAATTTGTAGCATTGTTATCACAAACAACTTATACATTTCTTGTTTTAGAATAGTAACATCTGCTTGGCTTTCTTTCAGTTATGGTTAGAACTAGAAAAACCAGTACTGCGGCAAATATCATGTAAGTACATTTTCTTAATGTTTCTTGTTGCCTATTTAAGTAACAGTGGTTATGTATGTACCACATATTTTGTGTAAACAATGTATTTTGTATGTATATATTGCATTGAACCTATATCGAACACTGCTGTTGCGATTTGAGTATTTGTATTAGCTACACTGTCATTAAAAAGGACAATGCAATGTATGGATGAATGGACAATCATCTCTATGAACAGTTCATAGAGGTGATTGTTCGATAACCTTTGACCTCATGGCTGTGCTATCAATAGGATATCAATTGAAAAATTTGGATGATAAAGCTTGGCTGGCATGTCTGAACAACCAGAACTACTTTCTTATAAGTAAGCTGTATTTTGTTTGTGGGCGTACATTAGTTGACTTGATGACCGCAATGTCTTTATCAGACAAAGGCACTCTTTCAACTATCAGTTTGTGGTAGTGTTTTCCCTCAGAAAAAAAAAAAAAAGAATTAAAAATTCTGACACACCGTTACATTCATACATGACATTGTTTGACAATCGTTCAACCCCATCTCTGAGTTAATCAGCATTTTTCTATTGGAATAAATCTTTATTTATTCCTTTCATTCACAGCTCCAAAGAAGACCTTATTTAGATTTGTAGTGAAGTTTTACAATCCCGATCCAGGACAGTTGCAAGATGAATTTACAAAGTAAGTTGTAAGAGGAATTATTGTTGCTTGAAAATTTTCTTTTTAGGAGAAAAAATGTCAGCAGGCATTGCTTTTGTGTCAAAATATTTTATAGCGACATAATACTGGAACAATTTTTTGTCAACTATGAAAAGTTACCGAGCTGGTCGGTGTGTAGTGCAGACACTTATGTACGAAACTATCACAAGTGTCAATTTCTTCAGACCTTGTTTATTGTCTGATCTCCCTCCACTGCTTTTGCGACCCCCCCCCCAAGGAAAAAAAGCATTATTTTTCTACTGCAATCTCTCAGGGTAAAATAAACTTTGAGGAAAGGATTAAAAAGTGTATTGACCTGCAGTAATTGACTTACTGAATCAGACATACGATGGGGATAAAAAAAGATATCAAGACGAGTAATTATATCCCAGAATGCCATCGTGCAATCATGGTAAGGGTTTGAAATTACACACAGTACTGTTGATTTAAATTCCCCCCCCCCCCGAGTTATTTCATTCGAGTATGAGTCTCAAAAGATATGTGCCTCTCAGATTTCTTCAGTATCTTTTATGTCTTTTCTCTCTCCCAGGTACCTGTTTGCCCTCCAAATTAAACGGGACATGGCATGCGGTCATCTGCCGTGCTCTGATAACACAGTATCTTTACTCGCGTCTTACATTTTACAAGGTATGTAATGTAAATTCATAATCTATGTTCATTGTGATTGTCACTTTCTTTTCAATACATCAGAATAAATTGTGAAGTTTGATGAAGTCTGACTTAGATAATGTCAGAATACTATAAACCTCCATGTCAGTAATAATAACGCACCTAGACATGTGAGCAACATGTATTGAAGTGCATCTAAACATGTGAACACCTTATATAGTACCACACCTAAACATGTGAAAACCTTGTATAGTATCACACTTAAACATGTGAACACCTTGTATAGTACCACACCTAAACATGTGAACACCTTGTATAGTATCACACACAAACATGTGAACTTGTATAGTATCACACCTAAATGTGTGAACACCTTGTATAGTACCATACCTAAACATGTGAACACCTTGTATAGTACCACACCTAAACATGTGAACACCTTGTATAGTATCACACCTAAACATGTGAAAACCTTGTATAGTAACACAACTAAAAATGTAAACACCCTTTATAGTATCACACCTAAACATGTGAACACCTTGTATAGTATCACACCTAAACATGAGAACATCTTATATAGTGTCACACCTAAACATGTGAAAACCTTGTATAGTATCACATCTAAACATGTGAACACCTTGCATAGTAACACACCTAAACATGAGTACACCTTGTATAGTACCACACCTAAACATGTGAACACCTTGTAATAGTATCACACTTAAACATGTGAACACCTTGTATAGTACCACACCTAAACATGTGAGCACCTTGCATAGTAACACAACTAAAAATTTGAACAG